TGCAGTAAATAGTGTAAATTGAATTAATTTGTTTTTATGTTTCCATGACAAAATTTATACTTTCATCTTCAAAGTAGATGCTTCAAATTTATTTTCTAATATTTAAATTCCCTAGTTAAGAGTGGAGACAAGAAGATTTAAAATGTCTAATCTCTTAGGGTTTAAAAATACAAGCAATTATTGTGTGTGTTGGATTTATTACTTTGTAGATTAAAATCAATGGGATTTTTGCAATTAATGACAAAATTGCATATAATGGTCTTATGGTATTAATAGTCTTGGTAAGCCATCTGTAGCAGTTTTCAATTCTCAACATAATTGCATAGAGTAGTTTATGTTTTCCAAGGAAAAATCTCTGGCAAACTATGCCTCATTTTATTTCTATTTTAAGCTAATCCCCTGACTCAATCTTAGATCTATGAGTTACTCTTATTTGGAGATTTGGGAGTTTGCAGAAGTGTGGAGATAATAAAATCACGATTTGCTAAGTTGCATACTGTTCAGGGATGGCAGGTTCTTCCTATACCAATTCAGTGTTTTATTGTTTCTGTATGTGTGTGGGTGGGGTAGGGGAAAGGTGAAAATAGCATTCTGTCCTTCCACTTGGGTGTGCAAGTTTACCATTTGCACTTAAGAATGTGTCATCTATCTAGAATAATCAGTTGGGTGAAATGGAATCTGTGAACTGACATTTAGTTATGTGACACAGGTGGTCATTTCTCTCCTAACATGTCAATGTGTGCCTGTGAATGAAATCCAAAGACCCTTTTGTTTTTCCTAGTGTGAACTTCAGGTACAAGAGTTGAGTTGTTCTTACTCAATTCATAGTAAGCTCATTGTTATATTTTGGTGTTTGACCCTCCAAATCTCATGTTGAAATTTAATCGCCAATACCAGACGTGGGGCCTAATTGGTGGTGATTGGGCCATGGGTGCAGATCCCTCCTGAAAGCCTTGGTGCCATCTTCCCTGTAGTGAGTTCTTGCTCTATTAGTTCCCAGAGAGCTGGTTGTTAAAAGAGCCTGGCACCTCCCTCCTCCTCTCTCTTCCTCTCTTGCTGTGTGATTTCTGCACAGACCTGCTCCCTTTCATTTTCCCTGAGTGGAAAAGCCTGAAGCTTTCACTAGATGCCCAGTCTTCCAGCCAGCAGAATTGTGAGCCAAAATAGACCGTTTTTGTTTATAAATTACCCAGTCTCAGGTATTTCTTCATAGCAACACAAACTGAATCAAGACACTTATCATTGCTTTACCTTTTATCGTCTATGGTGTTTTTTTTTTCTTTGATCTTCTACCCTGATTCTACCCTATATATAAGCATAGTCTTCATTGAATTTAACATATAACATACCATGTTATATGTTGTTCATATGTTCATTTAGGTATATGTCTGTAACAAACATGCTGCTTTATTCTGGGGTGTCTTCAGTTTATGTAGATGACACTATGCTACAAAATACACTCCTAATATTTTCTCTCAACATTAAAAATATTTTATTTATTATTAACTATTATTTGTTATTTTATGTTTCCATTATAAGTATTTATTACATTTTACTTACCCATTCATTTAGTGATCAAAATCTTGTAGGCCTCCAGCATCTTGATATGAGAAAAAATGCTTTAATTATCATCTTCGTATGTGGCTCACTCTTGAAGGACAATTGTTGGGTGCTGGGATGTTCTCATCCTCAGTGTTCTTCCACCAGTAGTTCACGAGGCTTTCAGCAGTTGATGCTATCTGACCTTTTACATTTTGCCATTCTAATGTATGTAAAGTGGCATCTCCTTTAAATTTGGATTTCTCTGATTACTAATAAGGCTAAACATCATATTCTTATAAATCATTTAAGGTTTTCATTTTTGTAAATTGCCTATTCATAGCCTTGCTCATTTTACTTATAGATTTCCATTTTTTTCTTGACGATTTGTGAGAATTACTTTTATATTTTTGTACTTATTCCCTTGACTGTCTTAAATATTGTGAATGTCTTCCATCGGTCTGTCATTCATATTTTGTTTATGACATGCTTCACTGAACATGAATCTTTCATGAAATTTGATTGCATTAAAATTAATTTTTCCCTTTATAGTATCTATTTTGACTATTTAAAAAACTGATTTCCTAATCTACCCCCAAGGTCTCAAATATATTCTTTTATATTTTTTCTTTAGCTCTATAGTTTTGTACATACTGTGTTTTTCCCTTTCTATAGAGAATTTACTCCATAATGCATCTTATTCCTACTGATTTATGATGCCTCTTTATTACAAAGCTACTATATTTTTTCCCACTGGCTTAATAGTCTATTCTTGCACCAATTACTACCTATTTATTGATCCATCTCTATCTATCTATCTGTCTGTCCATTCCATCAACTATCTTTAACTGTTTGGCTTCATAGTATCTGCTAAAGCAAGTTATTCATTTTCTTTTTCTAAACTGTCCTGCTGACTGATTCTGTGTTCTCACATGTAATTGTGGGAAGCACCTATCAAATTGCAAATTTTACTCAATTTTTTTTTGGAATGACATGATATTAATAGAGTAGTGGAGTGACAATTGATGTGCTTTAACTGTTTAATGGTTTCATCCTGGAATATAGTATAACTTTCTACTCAGTTTTAAAAATCTTTAATAGAGTTATTATTTTTTCCTGCACTTGTTAGGAGGACATTTTATTTATTTGTTTGTTAACTTTTCAATTCAGGGGTATATGTGCAGGTTTGTTATATAGGTACACTTGTATTATGGGGATTCGTTGTATAAATTATTTCATCACCCAGGTGGTAAGCCTAGTACCCATCAATTAGCTCTCCCTCTTCCCTCCCTCCACCCTCCTATAGGCCCTGGTGTGTGTTGTTCCCCTCTATATGTCCATGTTTTCTCATCATTAAGTCCCCATTTATAAGTGAGAACATGTGGCATTTGGTTTTCTGTTCCTGCATTAGTTTGCTGAGGATAATGGTTCCATCCATGTCCATGCAAGGACATGATCTCATTAGTTTTTTATGGCTGCATAATATTCCATGGTGTATGTGTACCACATTTCTTTACTGTCTAGCACTGATGGGCATTTAGGTTGATTCCATATCTTTGCTATTGTGAATAGTGCTGCAATGAACATATGCATGCCTGTGTCTTTATAATAGAACAATTTATATTCTGTTGGGTATATACCCAGTAATGGGATTGCTAGGTCAAATGGTAGCTCTGTTTTTAAGTCTTTGAGGAATCACTACACTGAAGAAAACATTTTATTGAGGGTGATTCCTAGATATTTATTTGATACTTTGCTGTGGCAGTGATTAGTATTTTGTTTTCTATCATATAATTTAATTAGTTGTATTGGTAAAGATATATCTATGGATATTTTTGTTAATAGCTTACTTACAAGCTTTCATAAACTTATTAGTAAAAGTATCAACTTTCTTCAGTGTTCTATGTAAGAAATAGTATATTCTAAAAATTACAATTTCACCTTCTTCAAAATCTTCATACTTCTAACCTATTTTCTGTGTTTTGTGGCATTAATCAAGTCTTCTAGTACTACATTAAATAGTGGCAGTATTTCTGATATTGTGTTATCAATTATGTATTTGCTGTAGAATTTTGGGTGGATATTTATCAAGTTAGGGAAGCCTTCTGTTGTTTCAGGTTTTCTCAGTTTTTTGTTGCTTTTTTTTTTTTTTATTTGTTTTTCTTTAAATAATCCTGTAAGGTACTGAAATTTTTCAGATGCCTCCCTGCATTCATTGGAATGATCATATATTTTTTCTACTTTGAACCATTAATATGGGGCATTATGATGACTAGATTTTCTGATGTTACAATCGCTACATTCCTGGGATAAAATCTGTTTGACTGTGATACAGACATTTTAATATAGCATTAGAACAGTAAGTATATATCTTATTGAGGATTTTGGAATCTATGTTCACATATTGAAATGATCCTATAATGTCATTTTCTTATATCCAGACTTGGTTTGAGGTTAATAATCAGCTTTGTGATATAATCAGGAAGCTTACATTCTTTTTCTACTTTCTAGAATTTTTTGAATAAGATAGAGATTATCACTGCCTTCATAGTATCTGATAATGAGCCTAGGGTTGATTCACAGGGAAGTTATTGATAGCTTTATGTCTATCACAATGTGGTAAATACTTAACAACCACCTTTCCAGGGTGTGTGTTGGGGGTGGGGAGTAGAGGAAAATTCCTGATTTAAGTGTTCTCCAGTTTTGTAGTGTAAATATTGCTACTACTACGCCCTATTTCACGCTATCAATGTGAAGTCGCTGAATGTGAAGTTGCAGAGATATGCATAGTCAGCTCCTGTGACCTGGCACAGACTGGCTCTGTCAACATAGAGACATGACAACCTCTAGAGGGGAATGGCAGCTTCTTCACTTTCAACTTCCTTGTCTTTAGCACATTCCTTTTTTGGCCAGCTCTAACTCAGAAGAGGGTTCTAGGAACCTTATTTCTGGTTTAACAAGTTATTTTTGGCTTCATGGAAAACAAACTGCCATTACTAGTGTTTTTAATTTATTTGCTGGTTATTGCCCTCATCAACTTTACTATTTGGACATTTTACATGTTTCCAAACATGTATCCTTTTTATCTAGGTTTCAAATTGGCTGACATATAGTTTTCCACAACATTTTTATATTTTTAATACTTTAATTACAATATATACATTTTAAATTCTTTTTCTTGATATGTCTTGCCAAAAGTTTGCTGTTGTATTAAAATACTTTTGGTTTAATCATCTCTATTTTACTGATTTCTGTCCTTATCTTTATTTTCCTTCTTTTCTTTCATTTCCATTACATTTTTTTCTTGTTTTAATTTTTGCTCCTTTAACCTGTTTATAATACCCGTTTTTGTTCTTTTATGATGTTTTTCTCCCTGAAGTTTGTGTTATCTGTACCAATGTTTCCCTGACTTTATTTAGCATTATAGTTACTTGGTATATCTGATTTATTCCTTTTGACAGGCTTCATGACCACTACCCCAAAATACGGCACCTTTGCCTGTGTGGAAACAACAGAAGCAGGAAGATTACTCTTATTTTCTTCCGACCTTTTTCTCTTGAAGTAGACCATAAAGAAGAATCTGACGTTTCTCTGAAGGAAACCTTCATTCCAGACGTACCCTCCCTATGTCCAAAGAACATCTTTATCTTTAAAGACACAGAGATGCCAAGAAGAATCTGAACAAACAGGACTTGCCAGATCCCCCAGTTTACTAATATTGGACCATACTCTTTTGTTCTTCAATCATATTTCTGCATCATGTTCTTAAAAATACACAGTTTTCCCCATTCCTTTGGGTATTTATTCCCGAAAGCTTCTGTGTCATGTAAAACTTATATTAAATAAATTTGTATGCTTTTGCTTGTGTGCTTTTCCCTTGTGTCTTTTGTTATAAGGGTTTCAGTCATGCTCCTAGCGATGGGTGAACAAAGAAATCTTCTTTTCTCCTTTATACTTTATTTTCTTTTTATAAGAATTCATTTACATTTGTTATGACTTTCAATAAGTTTGGATTTATTTCTACAACTTCATTTGACAATGAAATCTGTCATCTGTTCAAACATTAAGACACTTCAGCTTATACTGCTCACTCCCAACTAATATATTCTTGTTATCAAGTATTTTACTTCTGTTTTGTTTTTCTAACCATGCAAATTAGATGACTTCATAATCATCACTATATCCTAGAGTAAATTTTTGTCCACATTTATCATTTAGTTTTGTTCAGTATTACTTATTGCATTTTAGACATATCTTCAGCAATTGTTTCCCAACTTCCTGGTGTACAGTTTTTCAAATAACTTTAATGAGTATATGTTGGTTGTAAAGTTTTTGTCTAAAATATGTTTATTTGGGCTGGGTGTGGTGGCTAACGCCTGTAATCCCAGCACTTTGGGAGGCTGAGATGGGTGGATCATGAGGTCAAGAGATAGAGACCATCCTGGCCAACATGGTGAAATCCCACTCTACTAAAAATACAAAAATTAGCTGGGCAATTTGGTGTGCACATGTAGTCCCAGCTACTTGGGAGGCTGAGGCAGGAGAATTGCTTGAACCCAGGAGGCAGACGTTGCAGTCAGCTGAGATTGCACCACTGCACTCCAGCCTGGTGACAGAGCGAGACTCTGTCACAAACAAACAAATAAACAAACAAAAGTTTATTTGTCTTTTCTTCTTGAAAGTTAGTTTTGTTAAATTTACAATTATGGATTAACCTTTTTTTTTTCTAAACACTTTGTGAAGATTTTATTACTCTGATTTCTGGCCTTCCTTGTTACTGGAGTAAAGTTGGCTACAGCTTTGTCTTTTCCCTTTGGCTGCTTTTAAGATTTTCTCTTTGTCTTTGTTACACTTAAGTTGTGATTACTATGTGTCTTTTTGATGTTTATTTTTATTCATACTGCAGATTTACTGTTTCCCAAGCCAAAACAAAGACACTAATTACGTTAGTGTCCTAAAGTAATATTAAATGTTTAAATGTTCCTACCTATTTTTTTCCTCTATTTTTTCCCCAATATTTCTGGAACTCCAATTAAAGTGTGTTAAATCTTTTTATACTTTAACTCCCTTCTTCTTTTTTTCTTATTGTGTTTCTTTTCGACTCCTGTACTGAATTCTGAGTTACTTCTTTAGATCTACCTTTTAGTTCATTAATCATCTCTTCAGAGGTGCCTAATTTTCTGCTTAACCCATCCAATATACATTTAATTTTATCTGTTGTATTTTCTAGTTCTAAAACTTCTGTCTTTTCCAAATGTTGCTGGCAATTTCTAATAGTCGCTTCCCCTACCCTTTCATGTTTTCAACTTCTTTTTTCAATTCCTTAAACACGTTAGGTATTTTTTCTTAATTTGTATTCTAAATCTTTTAATTCTAGTGTTTGCATCCTTCAGATATAGACTTTCTTTTTTTTTTTTTTTTTTTTTGAGACAGAGTCTCACTCAGTCGCCCAGGCTGGAGAGCAGTGGCACGATCTCGGCTCACTGCAAGCTCTGCCTCCTGGGTTCACGCCATTCTCCTGCCTCAGCCTCCCGGGTAGCTGGGACTGCAGGCGCCCACCGCTATGCCCAGCTAATTTTTTTTGTATTTTTAGTAGAGACGGTGTTTCACCATGTTGGCCAGGATGGTCTCGATCTGCTGACCTCGTGATCTGCCCGTCTTGGCCTCCCAAAGTGCTGGGATTACAGGTGTGAGCCACCGCGCCCGGCCAAAATATAGACTTTCATTTAAAATTCATATAATTATGTCAGTATGTAGCGTACTATTTCTATTTCTAGATCAGGAAAACTAAAGCTAGGAATGCTAAATAATTTACCCATGTCAAAAATTTAATAAATGTCTGGGCAAGTATTTTAGCTCTGATTTGCTTGACCTCAGAAATGCTGTTGGTGTGATCATACTTGAGTCTTCCAGTCACTATTGACTGAGCAGCTAATACATGTACCAGTAGATCTTATACTAGATTCTGAGTGTGTTGAGTGTGGGAATAAGGCTATATTTAATACTATATCCATGCATTTATTAAAAAGCATAGAAAACTGGAGACACTTAATATTTACAAGGTTACATGGCCGATCATTGTCATAGGATCTTGTTATGATCTTCTATTACAGCAGATTTAGTACATTTATAGGATCAGTTAATATTTGGCTCATTAACCCCAGACTGCCTCTGTAGTAGGATGTGAGGGATAATCTTATGGACAATTATGGAATATCCTTGGTATCTTCATTTATATTTAGTTCCATCCTACTGCTTTTAGGTGGTGGTGTTTGTTGGGTCTTTCTGTACCTTTCCTTATTTGGGCTTCTGTGGTAGTTCATTCACTAATGTTAATCTCTCTTTTTTAACCAGTCCATCTTGGACGCTACTGTGTTCGGAATTGGTGGGTTCTTGGTCTTGCTGACTTCAAGAATGAAGCCAGGGACCTTCGTGGTGAGTGTTACAGTTCTTAAAGATGGTGCGTCTGGAGTTTGTTCCTTCAGATGTTCAGATGTGTCTGGAGTTTCTTCCTTCTGGTGGGTTCGTGGTCTTGCTGACAGGAGTGAAGCTGCAGACCTTCGCCGTGTTACAGCTCTTAAAGGCAGCACGTCTGGAGTTGTTCTTTCTTCCCGGTGGGTTCGTGGTCTTGCTGGCTTCAGGAGTGAAGCTCCAAACCTTCGCAGTGAGTGTTACAGCTCATCAAGGCGGTGTGGACTCAACGAGTGAGCAGCAGCAAGATTTATTGTAAAGAGCAAAGAACAAAGCTTCTACAGTGTGGAAGGAGACCTCAGCGGGTTGGCACACTGCCCCTGAGGCCTACTTTTATCCCCTTATCTGACCTCACCCACATCCTGCTGATTGGTCCATTTTACAGAGAGCTGATAGGTCTATTTTACAAAGAGCTGATTGGTCCGTTTTGACAGAGTGCTGATTGGTGCGTTTACAATCCTTGAGCTAGACACAGAGTACTAGACGGAAAAGTTCTCCAAGTCCCCGCTAGACTCAGGGGCCTAGCTGGCTTCACCTAGTGGATCCTGCATGGGGGTTGCGGGTGGAGTTACCTGCCAGTCCCATGCCGTGCACCCGCACTCCTCAGCCCCTGGGCGGTTGATGGGACCCGACACTGCAGAGCAGGGGTCGGGGCTCCTAGGGGAGGTTCGGGCCAGGCGGGAGCCCACCGCGGGGAGGGGGGTGCTGTTCAGGCATGGCAGGCTGCAGGTACGCAGCCCTGCCCTGCAGGGAGGCAGCTGAGGCCCCAGAGAACTCGAGTGCATCCAGCACTGCTGGGGGACCTGGTGCACCCTCTGCAGCTGCTGGCCTGGGTGCTAAGCCCCTCACTGCCCTGGGTCGGTGGTGCCAGCCGGCCACTCCCTGTGAGGGTCCTGTCAAGCTCTCGCCCTCGCCCTCCGTAACTCACGCTGGCATGTGAGTGCCGAGTGCAACCCCGGTTCCCGCCGGTGCCTCTTCCTCCACACCCCCCCACAATCACAGGGAGGTGGCTCTGGCCTCCGTCAGCCCAGAGAGGGGCTCCTACAGTGCCTTGGTGGGCTGAAGGGCTCCTCAAGCGCCACCAGAGTGGATGCTGAGGGCGAGGAGGGGCTGAGAGCGAGGGCTGCTAGCAGGTTGTCACCTCTCACTACTGCTGCATTATTCTCTCTAAACTGTAGCTTTTATTGTAAAGCTCCTTGACTCAAAAACTTTCAGTATTATCTCTCTATTGCTTATATTACAATGTCTAAATTATTGCCATTGCCATTCATACCAGTCTTTAGTATAGTTCCGATTTTCTATTTCAAACTTAATTCTCCCTACTCCCTACATAATGACAACAGCTAACACTTATTATGCACTTTCCCTGTGTGTGGCACCATCTTGGGAGCTTGGTATGTATCATGTCATTTAATATTTGCAACAAATCTAGAGATATGTACAATTATCCTTGTTTCACACATGAGGACCCTAAGGCTTAGAGAGCTTAGAAAATGTGCACAAGTTTACACAGCTAATAAGTGCTCAAGATGAGATTTGAATTCAGACAGTCTCACTCCAGAGCTGAAGCTATAAATTACCCACTGAACACTGTTACTTACATCCTATTACCCTATTCTAAAACCAAAAGGAATCATTCATTGTGTCCCAAACTTACATTGTACTTTTTTTTTGCTTATATTTTATTTTTGCCATGCGTCATGAGTCACATGACAAAACCTAACACACACCCAGTTTAAATTTTATTTCTTGCAAATCTTCCCTCATTTTTCAACTCTTAAAATACTACACGTGCCTCTCCTTGTCACAGAAACATTTATTTCAGTTATCTTTGCATGTGCCTTTCCTCCCTGGTTGTAGTTTAGGGATCAGTGTTTCGAAGGTAGATGATAATTTTAGTTGTTTTTCAGCAGCTAGCATGATGTATTACTCCATTTTTGTACCGCTATAAAGATACTACCTGAGACTGGGTAATTTATAAAGAAAGGAGTTTAATTGACTCACAGATCTGCATGGCTGGGGAGGCCTCAGGAAACTTACAATCACAGCATATGGCAAAGGGAAGCAGGCAACGTCTTCAAAAGGCAGCACGAGAGACAGAGGGTGCAGGAAAAACTGCCACTTTTAAATGATCACATCTCATGAGAACTCTCTCACTATCACAAAAACAATGTAGTGGAAAGCGCCCCTATGATCTAATCACCTCCCAGCAGGCACTCCCTCCACGTGTGAGGATTACAGTTCCAGAAGAGATTTGGGTGGGGACACAGAGTCAAACCATATCACTGGGGATTTGAATCAGCAGAAAGAAGTCTAGACGCTGCTTTTGTCACTTTGTAGGTGGATCATTTTGAGAAAGCTGCTTGGAATGCTGTCCAAGTTTCTTTTTGTTGC